AAATAAGTCTTCCTACCAATATGACCAAGTTGCGAAAACAAGGTCAAACAACTTCTATACAACGGAAGGAGACTGCGACCATAAAAATAGGCTACACCATCTTGGTCTTAGTACTTTCAAACCGAGTTTTTGCCGGGCGCCCAGCAACCTTTGGTCACTGGGTGAAACGGGCTTTACCAACCATTTTGTGTTCAATTAAGCTCTGAAGAAGCGGTAACGGGTCTTCCAAAAATTAGACTGATCTCATGAAAATGCCAGTTTGTAGCAGCTTATAAGTGGTCTGACCTCGTTTTCGCAACTTGGTCGCGTTGTCAGAGGGACCTAATTGTATGAACCTTGTCCGAAGTCCTCTGCTACAGTAGCTATGGCCTGTGCACTTCGTACGATCATTCGACCAACTGCTAAGACTGGCAAGACTCATTGATGCTATTGAAGAGACGTCTGGGAATGTACTGAGTCCAGGGTCCAACCCTGGGAATCACAATAACTACTATGGCAGCGGGATTCGAGGAGTTGTGTCCAACTATGTCCCCTGATAACACTACCGAGTTTCGAAAACGAGGTCAGACCAGCCCTATAATTTGAAAACGGACTGCAACAAAAATAGAGGCCACAACATCTTGGTCTTTTAAGCTACTATGTAGCAGTTTAATTTAGAAGATTTGCCAGACTTCTCTCCAAACGTGCGCATAGCCGAATAATGTTTTGCTGGTGGTTTCCCCCTCACAAATGTACACACACACATGCACACTCTTATATACACACATATATATATATATATATTAATTTTTTAATATATATATATATATATGTATATATGAGTGTGCATGTGCATGTGTGCATTTGTCAGCATGAAAATAGGTTGATCAAATAATTTAATGATCCATTTTTAAATTTGATTTACTGAGAGATATCTGTCAAAATATGTACGTTGTAGATAGAAAGAGTAACTGGGTTTCGATGAATCTCCTGCATTATTACTTGGACTTTTATTTCGTATGAAAATCAATGAAGAAGGGATTCGAAGGTCGACCTCACCAGAAGAGGGCGATTGAATCCAGTTTTTCGTAACAGAATGAAGAATGATAAAGTAATCCATTTATTGAGTACAAGTGTGGAAGTTTTATTGTAATTGGATGGAATTTTGATCTCCCAAATCTGGACACACTTATTGAATTAATTAGCTTATCTGATAGATTACCCGAAGAGGTAAGGAATAGTACTAAACTGGAAGTGGTGCCTCATCTTGACAATTTAATTTCGCAAAAAAAGCTTGTTCTCTTATTAGGGTATCTAAATATCTATGTGATACTAATTTATTTGTTATGAAAGCGGATAAAGGAGGAGTAGTAGGAGTGAAGCTATGTAGAAGAAATGCTAGTTCATTTAAATGACACAGATTGAGAGATCCGATAGAAAAACTTAAGACTAGGATAAAGGATTCACTTAAGGTATGCGTAAGTAATGGTGAAATGAAGAAGTGTAAAATGAATTAACTACTCCAGATAGATGCAAGGACCCCTACGGCTTACAGTCTCCCTAAGATTCACAAGGAGGGTGTCCCTCTAAGATTAATTGTAAATAATAAAGGAAGCGTGATGCATAAAATCTCACATTTGATAAAAATAGTGTTTAAAGAATGGAATGCAATATACGCATTCCATTATGGCAATAGTGGCTAGACAATTCAGGTTTCTAAAGGTAATTATTTAATTTTATTTTTTTAGACCAAGGCCACTTTAGCTTCCTGCTAGGCCAGATAACACACATTATCCTCACCTCAATGTTTACAAGTGTTTTACCGAACCAACTCTAGTTATTTATCACTCGTAAGAATATTTTGCCAGGTTAACGTTAATTGTGATCCAAGTTATTTTATTTTTTAAGTACCTTCCAACAAGAGTCCCACTATCTCCGTCTACACATTCAATCCATCAGGTCTCCATCTACGTATTACACAAGCCTTGCCCTTCAGCTATTTTGTATTCTTGTCACAGGCTCTTCGAATCATTTAATGCCATCCACGCTCTGTTTTTGACAGTTGCCAACAATATTTTATGGAATTAGCTACTGTAGCCAAAATTAGGGCTATTATGCCTGGCGATTGTTTCTGATGTATTTCGCGAACATGCTCTCCATTGAGGAGAATCGCCTAACCGGAGAGACGAGCTGATTTGCCTAACTCTCTTGTTATTCTTACAATCACACATGTTTCGAGGGGCTTATCTCAGGTGAGTTGCTTAGCCTTTTGCATATCTCCAAACCTAATGAGGTTGTTGCGTTGGTACGCCGGAATTTGCTTGTACTTTATTCATAGTCTTACTCTGGTCCTGCTTATATCAGATAAGCATCATGTTCATGCCGGGACACTTATCCTATCCCTTAATTTGCACCATTCGTTCCTTTTTATTTGTGTATTTTGTATTTATCCATCACTGCTGATTTTTTTGCATTCTTTCCTTGACTTTTTTCACACGAGCCCGAGCTTATTTGGTTGGAGTTCAGGCTGAAAGCCATTTTGTGCTCGATTTGGACGTCCTGCCTTAGTAGTGTGCGAACATTGTGACAATTAAAAGGAGATCAGAAATCGCAGACTAGGCGTCCGATTCGCGATGTTATAACCAGCCACTAGCCGGGTTTTTCTCCATTTTCTCACAGTTTCACTTACTGGTTCTAAATAAAAATATTCATTCTTTTTACCCTCTCTAATTTGTCAATATATTTTTCGGCCTTTACAAGTATTAGCTTTCCTTATCGCCTAAGAAGCCATCTTTCCTTTTTGCAGGAGATGGACGAGCAAGAAGGATTGAGAGTGCGGTGGAAAATTTGCTAGAGTCAATTAGTTTATGCATGAAAATGCACGTAACCTTGCCTTTAGAGGCTAAAGATAACCTAATTTCAAGTATCTCAAACGCCGGAAGCAACTTTCCTTTGAACGTATCCGACGATTGACCCTGGAAGGACACGCTATAAGGCTTTTATTTTATGCCTCCGAGTCCAACTTTGGTTCACTTATGCTGCTAATTATTTCAGCCGGTCGTTTGGCTCAACAAAGCCTGTTTTGTATCTCTCCCTAAACCTCAGCTGGTGACTACACCGACCCTCCCACTCCGATCAGTTTGACCGCGTTCGGCCACTCTCGGGGCCAACTCAGTCGGTCTGTCTGCAATCTCTCCAGTCCTGCTACCGGTGCCGTTTCCGTCGGGCCCGCTTCGATTCTGCCCCACACCGTCACTGAGTCGGCCGGGTCGACCGTCGCGAGCTCTTCTGCCACCACCGCCTGTTATGCCTCCGTGGCGCCGAGGGGCGCCAGAAACGGCCAGAACCCGGGCACAGGCGAGCGCACCTCCCCTCCACTGCGGCCCCATTACGCCGTCCTCCATGCTCCCACAGGGTCCCGGCCGCTACAGCCCACTCCAACGGCTCTGGGCACCAGCGCTCTGCTTCACACCAGACTCTTGCCAGCGCCCACGTCTGGCAACCCGGACGACCGGCTCTGTCTAACCGCCGGAAAGAAAGCGGGATTGGGCTGCGAGAATAGAGCAGACTCAGCAGTACCTCATGTCGGGCGGCTCGATGGCGGCTTTTCTGCTGCTGTTGTCAATGCCTCAGGTTCCACACCGACTAGCGGCGCGTCGGCCTCGTCAGGCCTTCTCTTAACTCAGCCTCCTTTGAGCGCCATGGAAATGACAAATCGACCGGCGCTTTCAAATGCTCTCTCCAGACTTGGTAATATAGACCTATTTTGCTATGCTATACCTATACAATACACATAGCACTACTCTTTTATTTTTATATATATTAATTGAGTATACCCTATTAATAACGGGTAGTAATAGTATGATTAATATAATATAATTCAAAT